CACACAACACACAACACACAACACCCCTGAAATGATAGCAGGGGCTGATGATGTAAGAAGAATACCCAGAAACCCAAAGGAAATACCAGCAAGGTGACTCATGGTGTGTGTGTTATCGACAAATCTTTTGTAATACGAAACCAGAACCTATAGTTTGTGTATGCGTGTGTGAGAGAGAGAGAGAATGGTAGTGGTGGTAATGGGATTCAAGCAAATAAGACAAAGACTAAGACAAATATTGACAATCCCCAATAACAGCGTAATTGCAATTTTAACAGAATATGCTGGGTTAAATACGATAATATTAAAAGCGTCAACAATTTCATTAAAAGTGTCATTTTTATTTGATCTCATAGAGCAAAATTATTTCCTTCGTACTTCACAGCAGGCAGCCAGCAAAGTCAGCCTGCTGCCCCCAAAATATTCAGGCTTTTTTTTTATCGCTTTAGACACAGCCATTGCCTTTCATCGCAACATGGATCACCCTTTCAATAATCAAACCAAAAACTTAAACCTTTTAATGGAATATAATATGTATAACTTTGTTTTCATTAGTGTATTATCAAATGAATGTAGGAACCGATGTGTTTTTGGCACCCTACAACGAGCCGGTTGTATCATGTTTCTACAGTAGCCCAGAAGCAACAAACCAAACACGGGCTCAGGATAAGGTTGTTCGGGTTTTTCACGCGTTTCACAACCTCTGTAGTTTCTCCTTCGCACTTGGAAGGCGAGGGTGTAGCGAGTCTACACCGATACAAGCCACTACATCCTACACACTGGATCTTTAAGACATCTATCTTATCTTTATAATAAATGACTAAACCATATCCTGCTGCTTAAGTCCCTAAGTATCTATAATGACATTTACAGTAGATACATCTGAACCCTACACGCACCATCTGTCCCTTGGATGCTCAGTCTGACTATTTATCTTTCCCTGTCTCTCTTGCTAGAGTTCAATGTAAGTTAAGTGCTATGTAGCCCGACATCTGCAGCCAAACTGGCGCATGGTCTAGACTAAAAAACCTTAAGAGACTGTGGCCTTTTCATGTCTGGGAAACAAGACTAGACAGCACCTGAAGAGCTGGAAAGAAACATATTGCTGTCTAAATACAAATAATGAGTTAAAACACTTTTTATAGACGGATATTTTCACAATTAAAAGTAAAACTATAGCTCTGTTTTCTCTGTAGAATATTCTGCACGAGTGCTAGAGCGATACTAATTACATACCAGTCTGTTAAACAGCCTACACTGCACATATATCAAAGAGGG